CAAACCCCAAAATACTAGTAGAGAGTGTTACTTGGATACCAGTTTGAAAATTGAGTATTATCTGGGATATTTGTTCTTTAGAGACTTGGTGCAGTTAAATAGTCAAAAAATGTTGGCAGAGATAGAAATGTCATTAATTTCAGAATGCCTAAATGGGTAACACAAGTGCCCTGATCCTCACCATATTTGGAAGTCTTTGATGTATAACAAAGATCTCCAAAAATTTAAATTACCAACATACTTTTTAGAGGCTTATTCAGAGAACTGGAAAACATTTTAAATTTCAAAAAGACACCCTTAATTTCACTACAAAGATGATATGATACAATAAACTGGTACCATTCACAGCAACGTGGATGGAGCTAGAGGGAATTATGCTCAGTGAAATAAGCCAGAAGGAAAAAGAAAAATATTGGATGGCTTCACTTATGGCAGGAATATAGGGGAACCCAATAAGACATCAGTATAAAAAAATAACAGTACAAAACACAACAAAGCAAAAGCAGACAATTATAAATCAGACATACAGCAGGGGAGGAGGAGGGAGAAGGATCAGAGAAAAGGAGGGAGGAGCATGGGGGACTATGGTGATGGTGCATGAGTGCCTTGGAAGGAAATTCTGTGGGGCCTCAACCTGAGAGAGTGGGGGGAAGCAAATATTATTTAAAAAGATTATATGATACATACAATTGATAGAAAATTGATCTTTCAGCCTTGTCCTTTTATTCCTGTTGGCCTGTGTTATATTTTGATGTATTATCTTACCATTTAGGTTACTGAGTCAAAGAAAAATTGAGTATATCCCTACAATACAAAATTTTACCAGATTTTTTTGCCGTGCAGTTCTGCTCTACAACTGTTACATACAATTTAAAACATACTAGAAAGTAAGAAATGGAGAAGAGATGAGAAAATTAACATTACTTTGTTTTCTTTTTTATTTATTTTTTTATTATAGAGGCATGTTTTATTTATTTATTTGTTTGTTTGTTTGCTTGTTCGTTTATACATGCACTGGGTACAGTCAGAAGCGCGGGAGGGTGAGAGAATTCACCAGAGCCAGAGCAGGGAGCAGAGCAGGCAGAAGGACCGAAGTACACTGCTGAGGGGAACAGCGGGCGGCAGGAGAGGTCTGCGTACCATGTGGGACCCTCCTCCGGTGGCCGGGGAGCAGCTGGGGATCGAACTGGCGCCGCAGAGGCCGCGGGCAGCTTTGCAACCCAGCGTTCAACCGCTGCGCCACCGGGGAAGCCCTACTTTGTTTTCTTTATGTGCCCACCTGATGGAGGCAACCTGAGATAGAGGATTAATTTATTGTGAATTAATTTTTGTAAATATTTTAGTAGCAGAATGATTGTTCTGTGGCAGGAACCACGTACAACATTCTGTATTGCATTGACATTGTACATGGCATTAGAAACCATTTAGGGCCTCCCTGCTGGCGCAAGTGGTTAAAACACGACCTGTGAGGCTGTCTCTGCAGCATCAGTTCGATCCCTGGCCAGGGAGCTACCCACATGGTGTAGCAGACTTCTCCTGACTTGCCCGCTGCTTGCCTCAGCAGTGTATTTTAGTCAGTCTGCTTGTTCTTCTCCCCTCTCAATTTCTGGTGACTCCTCTCACCACCCCTGGCCTGCACCCAGTTCTTATATGCATAAATAAATAAATTTTTTAAACAAAAAGAAAGGAACATTTAGAAAATTAAAGGGACTGAAAGTGCGTATATGATTAGCACTAGCAGTGAAGACTGCACGAGGACAAAACAAAAGACATCATCTGAATCTTTGTCATCTCTGCAGACTGATTGGAAGGAGACTAAAGAAAATGTTGGTTATAAGAATTAGAGTTGGGATAATTTTTTAAGGGTTTATGTTTGTTCATTTCCTAAGCATTCTACTTCCAGTCATTTTTCCAGATGACTCATAAATACTCTGGATTCACTCCTTTCATTAAATTGACTGAGATGAGAATAGGCTGTACTACTCCATTTCTCCATTCTTTCAGGAAATTAGACTTCCAGTAAAATATGAAGTACTTTAATCACTAAACAGAAAGGGAAAGAAGAGACTAAATTTTATTAATAATATCTTCATAACATCCTCAGATTATAAAAACTTACTGGCAACAAACAGAAGCTCGGAAAAATCTGCTTCACAGAATTTTCTGTACAAACGCATTTTTTCCCTAAGTCAGTTTTTTAGTCTTGGGTCATTTGTAAGAATCATCTTTATTCA